GGGAGGTGATGGCCCCAGGAGGGCTCTAAGACCATCAAGGGTTAACCCACTGATGGATTCACACCTTGAGGGGCTATTACCAGGTGGAGGTCTAGCTGGAGGAAGCAGGCCCTTAGGGCTGTGTCCTTGAAGGGTACATTTTGTCCCCAGGCCCTTCTCTCACTCTCTGCTTCCCAGCTGCAAAGAGGTGAGCAGTTTGGTTCCACCCCACTCTCCCGGGGCCATGATGTTCTGCCTTGCCCCAGGCTGGCAGGGATGGGGCCAAGTGACCTCAGAAAGCATGAGCCAAAATAAATCTTTCCCTCCTTTGTTTTCTTGGGTATTTGGTCACAGTGACAGAAAGCTGACCAACCACCAAGAAAAACCTAGGTGTTTGCCCATGGATGAATGGACAGATGTGGTGCTATGCTTTGGATCTGCAAGGTCACCCAAAGGCTCATGCTCTGAGAGCTGGGTCCCCAGCTGGTGGCAGTGGTGTGGAAACTTAGGAGGTGGGGCCTACCTGAAGGCTCCTGGGGGTGTGTGCCAGGGGAGGGAATATTTTGCTCCTGAGCTGAGCCCCTTTGCTCCACCATGGCTCCCGCCATGATTTCCTCTGCCTCACCATAGGTCCAAAAGAAAGGGAGCCAGCTGACCGTGGACTGAAACCTCAGAAACTGAGGGCCAGAGTAAGCCTTATCCTTTCACACCCCTCCCATCAACACACATATATAGACACAGGTGAACACACACAATGAAATATTAGTCTGCCATTAAAAGAATAAAATCCTGCAATATGTGGCAACATAAATGAACTTGCAAGACATTGTGATAAGTGAAATAATTCAGGCATGAAAAAATAAATACTGCATGCCCTTTCATAGGAAGAAGCTAAATAACTGGATCTCGTGGAAGCAGAATACAACAGTGGTTACTAGAGCCCGGAAAGAATGAGGCAGAGAGGGATGGACAGTGGATGGGCACAGGGGTAAAATTGGATATGAGGAGTAACTTCTAATGTTCTATGGCACAGAGGAATGACCATGGTTGACATTTATTTTCATTGTGTATTTCAAAATAGCTAGTAGACGTCTCTATTTTGAATATTCCCTATACAAAGAAATGATAAATGTTTGAGATGATGGTTATGCTAATTACCCCGACTTAATCATTACACGTAGTATGCACGTGTCAAAATATCACAATGTACCCCGTAAATATGTACAATTATTTTGTGTCAATTAAAAATTAAAAAATGGTGCTGGCTGGCACAACTGATATCTATATGCAAGATTCTAACTTTATATTAGATACAAAAATTAACTCAAAGGGGATTAAAGATCCAAATACATGAGCCGAAAAGTATAAAATCTTAGAAAGAAGCAGAAGTAAATCTTTGTGGCCTCAGATTTTGCAATGCTTATTTGAATACAATCTCGGCACAAGCAAAAGAAAAAACAGGTACATTAGCATTCATCGAAATTAAAAATGTATGTGAATCAAAGAACTCTATTAAGAGAGTAAAAAGATGGCCCACAGGGTGGGAGAAAATATTTGAAAATCATAAATTTGATAACGGCCTAGTATCTAGAATATATAAAAAACTTTTACAACTCACCAGCCCAAAAGGTAATTCACAAGGTAAGGAAAGGACTTAAGCAGACATTTCTTCCAAAGAAGACACGCAACCAACACAAGCAAAGATGCTCAGCCAGTACTTAGCAAGGAAATGCTAATCAAAACCATGAGGTACCACTTCACATCCGCTAGGCTGGCCACAGTTACAGGTAGAATCATGGATGTCCTAGTGTCCAGCAACATGAATGTGACGTTATTTGGAAATAGGGTCTTTGCAGGTTTAGTCATGTTAAGATGAGGTCATTAAGGATGGCCTTGATCCAATATGACTGATGTCCTTGCAAGTGTCAGTGAGTACAATGGTCAATTTTATGTGCCAGCTAGGCTTAGCCACAGTGCCCAGCTATTTGGTCGAACATTCACAATGGTTCTGTGAATGTGTTTTTTCGATGAGATTAAAACTGAAGTCAGTGGATTCTGAATAGAGCAGGTTTACCCTCCATAATCCATGGGAACCTCTTTCAATTAGTTGAAGATATTAATATAACAAAAGCGGAGAAGGAATTCTACGAAGACCGAGTCTAACAGCTGCCAGACTACTCCAGCAGACCCTGAACTCCGCTGTGTGGTGTGAGCCAATCCCAATTCCTGAAAGATCATTCTCAAATACACATGAGCTGAAAGTATAACATCTCAGAAGAAAACACACATCTTGACGCCCTTAGATGACCTGGCAATCATATATATAATATGGATCAACTGGTTGTGTTCTCTGCTTCTTCCTCAGCACGGCCTATCTGAAGTTTGCCTCCTTGAAGGACCCCTGGCCTCTTGATGGCTGAGAACTACTCAGTATGCAGGTCACTGCTCTCACCTGCACCCAGCTCCGCCCCCTTTCCCCAGCTCCCTCACCCAAGCATCTAGCTAGCCACTGGCATCTCATCCTCTGGATTTTCCCAGGCAGGGATCCATCTAGGCCGACAGGGATACCTTCTGAGCTCCAGTGAGGTCTTTCCCCTAACATCCAAGGAAGGGATTGGTAGGGAATCAAACATACCAATGGCTTTCTAGAGCAATTTCCCCCCAAATTCTCTTCCTTCCCCTCTAACTCCTTACCTTAGGTGGAGGCACTAAAAGGGTTGCAGGCTTTCGTTCGTAGGATCCAGTACTACCTGTCTGTGTGCATCAATTTTAACTTCTTGTTCTACAAGTACAAGTTTGTTCCTAATTTGTCGCAGACATGGCATGTGAACCTTTTCACAAATATGTCACTTAAACTTATTAATAGGATTGCTTATAGCTGCTGTGTCTCCGTCAAAACTAAGAATTCCCAAAGGTAACTGGCATTTAAAAATCCACGGAAGGGGCTGGGGCTGGGGCTCAGTGGTAGAGCACTCATCTAGCATGTGTGAGGCACTGGGTTCAATCCTCAAGAGCACATAAAAATAAAACAAAGGTATTGATTGAGTCCACCTATAACTAAAATAATATATTTTTAAAAAATCTATGGAAGAAATTATGCAGGTAGTGAGTTTACTAATAAGATTCTCAGTAGGAAGAAATAACTCCAGTAGCCGTCTTTCCCACAATTTCAGACCTGGGAAAGAACTCAGAGGTTGGTCAACTCTACTCATTTCCTTAAAGTAGCAGCTGAGGTCCCAAGTGGCTGCATGACTTGCCCAAGGTCATCAGAGTGAGAGATCAGAAGACAGTTATCACTTCTTGCAGTTCCTTTTGCTTGTAAAAAAAAAATATTAGATAAATTGATTTATACTGGTAATTTTAATATTTATCAAACCAGTGGTAGAGATGAATTTTTGATGCAAAATAACTATTTCATCTGAAAAACTGAGCAAACTGGGCTTTCAACATTACATAAAGCTTGTATGAATCCTAACCTACTGTGCAGGAGAATAATGGACTCTTAATTGGATCTGTGCCTCAGAGTGGAAGAGCAATTTTTAAATGGAAAACTCTACAGAGGTGGTGGTGAGAAATGAGCTTTGCTAGATGAATTATTCCAGGACAAAGTAAGAGAGCAAAACAAGACTAGAAAATGGCTTTGTCTTACAGATCCCAAATAGACCAATGCAGCTGGTTTATACTGGTGAATTGCCATATTTGCCCCCACCTTCCTGATCTTGCCACCGTCTGTTGTTCCGGGGTCCTCATGGACCCTGGTCTCCTGGGTTCCATGAAAATGTGTACAGCGGCACTAGGACACTATTCATTATCTGACAATTATTATTGGGAAGCCAGGACGTGTCATCCAGAGGTCGCAAAGACTCTATACAACAATCATAAGCTTTTGAGTTTGGGATGGAGCCAGCCCAGAAATAACAATCCGACACCACATTTCATATGCAAAACAAAACTGAGGCTGGGAGCAAAGTACCCAGTCCAAGAAGGTCACACAGAGAGTTAATGGCTCTAATCACAAAAATGAAGCGTTTTGACAGATTCATGAACTCTTGGGTAGCTCCATCCTCAGCTCTGAGACCTCAGAGTCATTCTGTAGCCTGAAGTGCTAATTAAACCAGAGGAATTATGGATTTACTATTTATAGGTAGTGAAATTAACTAGGCCATGATTCGTGGGGACACAGGAGGAGATCTTGTCCTCTGAGATTCACATATTACATTCAACTTTTGTATTTTAAGACAGAACATGGGTAACGCATAGCTCAACTTTCCTAAGGCTGGGCCAGGGTAGTCTTGATGGAGCACAGCGGTGACGAAGGTGTTTGCCTCATTAAGACCCACAGGTAACCCCACTTCTGGCAAATGCTGCCCTCACTCAGTGGGTAAGGTCAAATCAATCCTTTCGAACCTATCAACAGCTTCAAAGGACCTATTTCAGACCTTTTTTCTATTATTTTAGGAGTTTTAACCAATAACACCAAGTCAATATGCTTTCACTGAATGTAAAAGGGAAAAAGGAGAAAGGAAGCCTGCAGAAATACTTTTAAAAGGCACGCGGCTGAGTCTGCAGGTAGCTCCCGTTTTGCTTCCTCTACTGGTCAGAGTGGCTCTCCCTATATTACCAAAACTAAACGGCTCTCAGGAGGCCTGGTGGTGTGGACAAAAGTGCTGAAAGCGAGGAACTTCCAAGTTTCCATGTCAGAGACTGTGCATACCCGGGAGGCGTCATTTAACCCCTCGCCATCAGTTCCCACCTCTGCACAATGAGGATAAACCATGGCAGCGCCTCTCCTGGGTACTGTGTGGATTGGCTAATTAAAGCTAATGAAGACCCTGAGAAGAACCAGAAAATACTATGTAAGTGCTGAGTATTTATGTGCCACTAACAGTCGCAAAAACTCCTCAGGGACAAGATTCTATGCAGACAGCACACTCTCCATTGGTGATTACTAATCAGCCACTGCTTACAAAGAAAGCACTGTGTTTCCAGAAAAGGGCAAGGAAAAGAAGCATCACACAGAGTTGTTCAACAACACCATCTTTATTCAAAAATATATATCTATGAGACATTTCAGAATATACTGCTGCCACCAATGGCAGCCTATACTTCTAAATAAAGTCCTAAATTAATATACAAATTTAAGCTTTAAAAATATTCTTTAAGAAAAACAAAACAAAAGCAAAGGAAGATTAAAGACTTTCTGAGGAATATGACCTAAAGGAAAGGTCCCTTGAGGCCTACGGATGCCCTAAGTAAAGAAACAACACAAACCAATACCACCCACCCCGCCCCACAGACCACCTCTTACAGACAAGGAGAAAGGTTCACTTAAATTAAATGAAGTAAGCACACTTTGAGAGGTGAGGGAAAGAGAATAAAGATTTAAAAAAGCATTTCATTAAAACAAAACTAACTTCCTCACAGGAAGTCCACTAGTAACAGGTGTTAAGAGGCCAACACATTCATTTACATAATTGCTACAGGTTCATTTCTTGCTTTTGCTATAATAATTACGCACCAATCGGTGGATAATAATTAACTCAGGTGGATAAAACATAGCAGTGGGCTGAATCCCTCATGCTGTTGTATTTTCACCTAGCTGATCAGAGCAAATACAGTCTTTTGCCTGGTTTGTGGCTGGTAAAATTTTGCCTCCTTGGTGAAAGCAGAGCGTCCAAAGCAGGTCTGTTCAGAACCAGCTCCTGCACGACGCTGGAGCAGCTCGGCGGTAGGGTGCGCACCAACAGCAGAGACTACAATTTATCTTGCAAGTTCAGTGAAGTCACCTACTGCCCTGTGGCCTCTGGGAGAAAAACCTTCTAGACTCATTAGTTTAACAATGACAGGACAATAGGCAGTGCCAGGAAGCCAGCCCCACACAGCTGCACCCACACCTGAGAAACGGCACCAGCACCACCAGGTTCTCCAGAGCCAAACCAGGCACCCGGCTCGACTTTTCCTTGTTGTCACGTCATGGTGCCCATGTGCAGGGGAGCTTCTGGAAGGGAGGCCTGTCATTCTGTGTAAAACACAGGCTATGTTTAACATGTAAAATGACATAGACTTTTGGTGATTCTAAAAACAACAACTCAAAACGATGGAGACTCTCAAGTCCCCTGCACTGAATTCCTTCGTACAGGTCTTGGATCCAGCCTAGGGACCATATTCCTATTACACTACTGGGGCAAACTGTCTTCTGCCCTTTCCAATGTCAAAAACAGGCCTGCCAAATTTGAATGATTTCAGTTTGCAGGACTGACCTTTATGATACAAGATAAAAAGCCTCTCTAACCACATTATTTAGTCATAGTGTCAGCTGGCATGATAATGGAATTAAAAACCAAATCAATATACCCAACTTTCCCCTCCCCTGCCGAGATGAGCTGTTCAATAACATCTGATGCAAACGCTCCTCCTCCTCCTCCTCACATGGGGACATGGACACGTGCAGTGGTGTGAAGTGATTGGCAGATGGACATGCTCAGTGTCCTATTGGCAGGGGAGATGTTCAAGTTTAGTCACCATATTGTGGACAACACCCACACAGTGGATTAAATGATCATCTGTGCCCTACTCCCAAAAGGGTCAAAGCCATACCCCTGCAGAGCCCAGACTCAGCATGCCTCCATGGAGAGCCTTCATCTTTGGGGCCCACCAGTGCCATCCCTACCAAATACCTTCATAGCCAATAGGGGTCAGCAGGGTCCTGTTTTTAGGAACATGGAACCCTTGAGAAGTGCGGCCTGGGAAGGTTCTATGGAGGAACCAAGCAAGCAACTTGCTCTGTGACCCTATTACTGCCTCCAAACTATGACTTTATGTCCCAGATCAGCTCTGAATCTTATTGCTAGATTCTCTGGTTTGGTTACAAAATGAATGCACCTAACCTTGACTACAGAGCACTAGAGGAAGTAATGGAGGAGAGGGGGAGATTGAGCAATTTGGCAACTCTATATGACAAAGCTGCCCGTCTGCTGTGCCACCAACCATTGGGGGAAAGATGGTAGACACGAAAGCTAACATCAGCAGAGAGAACCCTGCAGTGGAAGCCTGTACCTCACCTGGACAAGCCCAGCTCAGAAAGGAGGTGCTGCTTCCATGACACATGCTATCACAAAGACAGGTTCTTTTGAAAGGTTCCAGAAGTACACATGATTTTCCTAACTTCTTGGGAAAGAGAGAGCGAGCTAAGAATGGAAAAGCAATAGGGGCATAAAACATGAAAAGGGAAAGTGTCTGTGTTCTTTGCAAACACAAATCTAAACTGGACTCCACTCACGCTCTGACCTGTGCTCAGGGTGAGAGGCTGCAGAGGAGAGTCGGAAATCAGAGGCCACGGTTCTTTCTTGAGGCGGAGGGATCAGGTGGAAGAAGGGCTAGAACCAGGACCAGAAGATCATTTCCAACCATGACTTGCCCTCCTCTCTCTGGCACAGATGGGAATCTGGGGCATGACACCTGTCCTAGTCAGTTGAAAAGAGGTCACCAGCAGAGGGCAGAGGGGCCAAGCCACCTGTAACGTTGGGCAGCAGCGAGAGGTCTGGCAAGCTCTGAATATGGGACTTCAGCTCCTTGCGGACCTGGGTGACTCTCGCGAGCTTCTGCTTGTATTCCTAGGGAGACAGAGAAGACACCGCATGAGCCTCTGCGCAGCACTCGCCCTCCCCATCTCCCAGAACCCACCACCCCGCTCAGCCTCGGCCATCACAAGGTTCTCAAGTTCTCAAAGAGCAAATCAGAATGCCATGCTAGCCAGGCTGGGTTCAGGGGTATTCAGGTGAGCACATGCGCTCTGGGAGGAGAGGCAGTGACACTTAATATTTGCTTTCTTTTTTAATTGGTTCTCAATAGTTTTTAAAAGCTCATAAAAGAGGCTCAAACTTTATAACTATTCTGAACGTTCCATCTAGCCACGGTTAGCAAAATCACTCCAAAGCTGTATTTTCTATGGCAGTGCTTAGCGATAAACCCAGATTTATCATTTTCACAAATGAGCACCACTTAAGATCAGAACACTTCCCCTGCCACGGCCTGTGTCCAAGACGGCCTTGTTCCATGCTGGGTAACCACAGTAAGGCCCTGACTAGGTCTGTGAGGTCCCTGCCCCTAGTTCCTCTAGATATGCAGCCGGACTTACCTTCCAAAGGCTCAGCATCTCAAAGCCAATGCTCTGAGGTGAAGCAGGCCCTCGCTATCTCTGTGACAAACTCAAGGCCTTCTGAAAACTGCTGCTGCCCAAACTCACTCCTCACTCCTTCCCACCTCCACTCCTGTGCCCAGGCCACCGCCCACATGGGTGCTTGTCCAGGACAGACCTTAAGCTTAGAGGTGCACTTTCTCCCAATGCTGGTGAAGCCCTGCCTCCACCCCTGTCTACCTGTCTGGGAAAATTCTTTCCCTCATCTGGGAGCCGGGTCCGGATCCAAGCTGCTCCCGCTCCCCACTTTCCCTTGAATCCCTAGCAGGCGCTCTGGGCTCTCCCCAGAAACAGCCAATTTCCACATTCCTCTAGGGCATGGCTCTCCTGATAGGAAGAGGCTAGATTTTTCTTTCTTTCCTCAGCTCCCAGCAAAGGTATACATCATCTGTACAGAAAACTGGGCCACGTGAGGTCTGTGTCTTAGGGACCCCTTGGAGCTTGTCTTTTTCCCTTCTAGGTGTTTCTGGAAGGCTAAGGACGTTCTCAGGGCTGGACACGGTCTGTGTAAAACCTCTCCTGCATTAAAGTAACCCAAAGCACAGGCTGAGACTCAAAGACCTGGCAGTGTTTGAGTTGGCTCTGCCTCTGACCTGCTGTGAGACCAGGGACGTGGTCCCCTCCTCTGTCTGAAAGGGAGGGAACTGAGCACACCACACAATGGACTTTAAGTTCTAAACTCCCTGATGCCAGACTCCTTTCACACACTGGAGGAGGCAGAGGGTTCGAGGGCTTGTGAAATCATTAATGACTCCCCTATCAAACTAGTAAACTCTAGTAGGTCAGGACAAGACCCACCTGCTTCACCCAGCACTCACCATGTGCCCTGCAGGGCCAAGTAAACTGCAGGTGTCTGGCACATTTGCCAAATGAATGACTAATACATGAAACAAACATTATGCATAAGCACAACATTCCTAGACTTGGGTCACAGTTGCCTTTCATTCTTGACACTGAAAGCTGACTTCGAACATGAGCATGCAAAACGCCAAGGTTCCCTTGTCTCTTCACATGAAATTCATGTGAGGTTAATCTAAAGCATGAAGACCAAGGATCTCTTTCCCAACATGGATTCATTTAATAAACCTCTCCTGAATGCTGAAGCAAAAAAGGGTAATAGGTACCATAACACTCGCCTCACCTCAAATTCTCTGCCCGAAACTGAGAAATGAAAGCCACCTCGACTCAGAGTCATCCACTCATGACAACCAAAGAGACTTCACTGGAAAGAGCTCACCAACAACCGTTTGAAAATCACCAAGTTTCTTATGGGCTGAGGGATCAGAAACCAAGGCTTTTTACCCCTGGGGGAATCATCAGGTTGAAAGCAAAGGCAGACGACTGATCAGACACCACCTGAAGATTCACGTAGGCAATTAAAAACAAAAATCCCACCTGCTCCTGTTTGGAAGGAGAGAGAGTGTGTGTGTATATGGGGGTACCCTGTCATGCTTGGGCCAATAGTATATCCTAGACATTGCCAAAGAAATTCTACTTAAATTAAAGGAAATATATTCCACAAGAAAGCCTTCTCTTAGGCCACTCTCAAAGCAGTTGGATCCTGCCCACACCTCCTCCTGCCACAGGTTCCTCTTTTTACAGAAGTAATTTAAGAACAAGCACCCAGGCTCAGGAGGAAGGTTTCCCAGAGAAGGAGTGAGTATGGCCTCACTGACAACCATGGAATCCATCAAGACCGTAAAAACAACCCCCAAAGATTCACAGGCCAGGAAGCTTAAGCACCTCAGCAAGGGTGACTTGGTACATATACTGAATAGCCAAACACAGGTAGAGATGGCCTTTAGAACACGTAGCTGCCCACCAGAGATGATGGAAAGGCCTAGCTTAACGTCCCTAGGAAAGAAGGGCAGGTTAAAATTCTTGGCAAGCCCTGAGCAGGTCAGGCTGTAGCTACAGGGATTCTGTAAGCCCTAAACAGACTCAGTAGTGACTACTCTGTGATCTCCCACCTCTTTTATTTTTTAAATAGATTTAGGCTTTCCAAATAAAGTCAGCTATAAATATTGCCAGACTGCCAAAACACAAGAGTGAATTCAAGCAAAACTATCCTCCAAATACAACCTTGGCCTTTACTCCTCCTCCTTATGCTCCCCGAGTTGGGTCAGGCACTCCCTTGCTAGCTGCCTTTCTAGGTTATTCTCTTCAGTTATAAACAGGTAAAGGAGATAGAGCTCAGGAAAATCCAAGATTCTCTTGCCTTCTGGCAAAGTGTGGTCCGTGAGTTGTTGCTACAAGACTCCAAATGGTGCCCGCAGCAACTCGTACTTTTTCAGAAGAAATCCAGACCTCTTCCCAAGATGCCACTAAAACCAACTTCATATGATGAGGCCATTGGGAGCCTTCTGCCTCCATACAGCGTGCTGCGTCCCACAGCCTCTTTGGCACACCAAGTGCCACTCCTGTAGAGAACTGATGGCAAGGCGATCAAAGTTCCTCGTTTAGGAGGCCTTATGCTTATTTATAATGTTGGACTAAGCCTGTAATCTAACACGATGCGCTGCCTGGTGCAGGATGGCGGTGCCGGGCTCCTGCCTGGCTGCTTCTCCCTACACTCAGTGCACCCCAGCCATGGTTTGCACAGCTCCACCCCACACCCTCATCTTCAGACACTTGCTTTCCAGTTAAGAACAGACACGGCAAACCCAGAAGCCCTCTGCCTTTCCTTTCCTGCTCAGACGTAACCCAGACCAAGAGGTGAGGGCCGAGTGTATCCTGATCACCACGGACCTGCCCTAAGGAGCCAGGAAATAGGGAAGAGTCTCATCAGACCTGCTGCTACTGCCCTGCTCCAGGATCCCCAAGCTGGGGGCAGGCACCTGTGATGAACTGCCCAGGTTTATCTGTCTGTCAAGAGATGTTTAAAATGTAGAATGTAAGGCCCAATGTGTAGTTCTGAGATAATGCCTAGGATTTAGCTCCTGGCAAAGCTTTAGAATTTTCACTTCACAGATTTTCTGAACTTGTAGGAGAAGATGTGTCTGGACATCCCTCTGCTTCCTGTGGATCCAGCTGACACGGTGAACTGATCATCATGGAGCACCGAGACAGCTCACTGAGGGAACAAAGCTTACACATTCTTTGCCTTTTATGGTCAGAGCAGTACGCCAGACCAACACACTGCAGATGAGCTCTGAGATAAGAGGGTTAGAAATGACAGGGGCTGACAGGGCAATGAACTCTCTACAGGAATTTCACTTTCAAAACAAGCAATATCATAAATATTTCCTCAAGCAATTCATGTAAGAAAGACTGATCAAAATGTAAATACTACCAAACTTATTCTCTTCCTTGCTAGGAAGTACTTACATAAGAAAAAACACATTAGTAATAACATCATGGATGGGGTTTAACTTGGAAACCCCTCTCCAGAATCCAGAATCAAGACTTGTATTTCCCTTTATCGTGCCCTGTTGTGCTGTTGGACATATGGTATATAAAAATCACCCCCTGCTCGGCTACCCCCAATTAACAGTCATAAAGGGTTATTATGCACGAAGCAGTTTATGAAGGCCCTGAATAAAGGTGACCTGCTATGCTGAATCTGAGTAGAAGAAGTGCTTCATTGCATGGAGCTTGAGAGTCAGCCAAAGAAGCTGATGGTCATTGGAGTAACCCTCCAGCTGGCCTGGAGCTTACCCAGTGCCAGGAAGGTCCACAGGACCACACTTACAGATCTTGGTCTCTACTTAAACAATTTCATTTGTTCATTCATTCATTCACTTACTCTTTAGAAAATACAACATATAAATTGTATTTGAATTGGTAATAAGAATGCTACCATTTTCTTCAGAGATCAATGTGGGAACAAAACCCATCACTGTCCTGGCAACCTCTCTCAGCCAGGTCCATGCTCCCATGACTTAGTGGGAGCTGTGACATTTCAAACTGATACATTCTGGGATGTCACAACAGGCTTAGAGCTGCTGAATAAGACACTGTGGAAGATACAAGGAAAAGAAGAATTTGTGGCCTCTCAGCTCCATGACCAAAACACACCAAGAATTTCCCAAAAGGAAAAAATGACAAAATAGCTAGAATTAGAGGAACGTTCTCAGAGCACTGCAACCATCCATCAGAGTCGATGCAAACAGACTTTCTCAACTCGGAACAGCACCACAAAGTGTTTTCAGGGTACTTCTTCCCTCCCAGAGGCCCCTCTACACCAGAGGCAATTAAGACAGATTTGATTGTCATAACAAAAACCCCAATATGACAGGGATTGGCAAAAGCAAGGGAGGAATAAAAAGTTATATTTCCACACACAGACTAATACAAATGAAATAAACCAAAGTAAAAGCAATTTTAGGGCCAGGAAATTTTTCAAGCATTAATGTAATCATAAACCTAAATACATACAATGTCACAGATGTCTATAAAATGACTTAAAAATACTTA